GCACATTTCATAGTTCTTCAGGGTTTTTTCACACTTGACTAGTATTTTTATAGTTAGATAATTAATAAAAAATAATTTTATAATTCAGTAATTTTGAGATAAAGAAAGGTTCAATCAAATAATTTAAGTATAACTCTTTAATAGTATTAATTTTATTAAAAGAATATAAAAAGTAAAAACAATATGATTTAATATCTGACAAGATTTGACAACTCTACTTGAATCCTTTCTGCCCATTTATTAAATCTGATTTCTTCTTCTTTTAATATGGCTAAAAGATCTCCTGGGTTTATATCAATAGTTTCATATCTAATATTAGCCATTTTTAATGCCGTAATTATTCCATCAATTATTAATTTTTTTTCATTTATGGTAAGTTCTATTTCTTTTGGTAAGTCATCTTCTTTTTTGTGAACCTTATTTTCTGTATTACAAGAAGAAACGTCACAAGAACTCCTAGAAGAAATGGATTTTTTCTGATTCTTTTTAATGAAACTTTCTAATATTTGAAGTTTTGTTTTTTTTTCTAATAAGATTTCTTGAAGTCTTAGTCCTGATGAATCTCTTGGTGAAGTAGATTTAGTTTGAATTGAATCATAAAGAACATTAAATGAACTTTCAACTTCATTGATTTGTCTTTCTAATGAACTTTTTAAAGAATGGAATAAAAAGTCTTGAATAGCATCATATCTAATAATATTTTCATCAACCAATAACTTCTCACTTGTGAAAGAATGATTAGTATCAATCACAGAATCATATAAAAAAGGAATTGATTCATTAGGTGAAAGATTAGAAGAACATTGAATTATTTTGTTTTTTAAATCGTTATTCTCTTGTTTTAAAAGCTCTATTTGAAGTCTAAGATTTTCTACATTCTCAGTTGATCGTAGTGTTGTTAATTCTTGAATTAAAGTATCTCGTTCTTTTATCAATTGTTCATTTAAACTTTCTAATTTACAAATTCTATTTATTAATGAATCAGTATCCATTGTTAAAGAATTAAAATTTAAGATTCTGAGTTAAAGATTATTATAATACTTTAATTAATAGTTCTTTTTTTATGTTTTTTGAATTAGTTCATACTTTTTCTTTAAATATATATTCCTAAATTTCCTTTTCAAAAAATATGATATAAAATAAAAAGTAATAAGACTATTCTTATGAAATGTTTATACTGTTGTTATTTGTTAAAACGAAACACGTTTCTTCTTTAAAACTAAATTATTTTTACGTTGTTCTAATACATATTAACTAAATAAAATTTTTTCTTATTCACCTTCATTCAAACTATTTTTATCTTTTTTTACTTATTCACGTAAAAAATGTTAGCAAATGACAAAAAAATTTAATTATTACGTAAATTTTTTAATAATTGGAATAATGATGACAACAACGATAACGGCAATAATGATAGCAGCAATAACACCTATAATAATCCATAACTTCCATTTTCTCCAACACATTGCCTTTTTCATTTGATGAGATTGTTTTTTGAATGTATTTGCCTTTTCAACCATAGCATCAGTTTTTTCTTCCAAGTCTTCTGCTTGTTCAAGATTGCGTGTCATTTTATCAATGTTCTATCATATTTAATCTAACGCTTTATTCTTTTATTCTTTAAAAAAAAGAAACAAACATCAGCCATAATATCTTGGGTTTCTTTAACATCTCTATAGATATCTCGAATCTTTTCATTTTCAGGTTCTTGTTCAATCAATGCTTTCTTTTGTTCTTTTTTTTGTTTAACAACCTCAGATGCTCTTGGTTTTTTAGCATTTGCAAACTTTGGCTTTCCACTAGCAATGAGTCAAGTGTAAGAGAAGAATAAATTGCTCAATAGAAAATAAAAATACTAAGTAACTAAACGAACCTCATCTTCCTTAATTTGTTTGTAGTTCATTTTTTTTTTAATTCTTCCAACTTCAACAAACTAATACATTTCCATCAGTTTCTTCTTTTTTCTGGTTTTCTTTTATTTTTCTGTAATACATAACAAAAATAAATTTTTGATTGATAAAAATATAACATTTTATAAATATCATTTTTATTACAAAAAAATAATTTATGTTATATGAAAAATACATTAATCTTCATCTGTAAATGTATTGTAACCCTATGCAGCATCCTCAACGCTTTAATAAATACGAACAAACAAGTCCATATTATGAGAAGTATTACAAACTTCAAGGAATCATTAGTCTAGAAGAAGAAGAACAATTTATGAAAGTAATAAAAACTCCTCTTCCTACTTCTTTCCGTTTAACTAAATCAAGTGAAACATTCCCCAAAGTACATGAAGTTGTTAATAAAATTATTTCTGAAATACCAGAAGAGTATAAACCACATACTTTTGAGTGGTGTCCAAATACTTATCAATTAGAAGTTGAAAGAAAACAAATTAGAAAATGTGAACAATACAATACTCTTCATAAATTTATGATTCTTATGAATGAATCAGGAGAAATTAGTAGACAAGAAGTTGTTAGTATGTTACCTGCTATATTACTTGATGTTCATGAAGGAAGTTCAGTACTTGATATATGCGCTGCTCCAGGTTCTAAAACTTCACAATTAGTTGAAATGGTTGGTCCAACAGGATGTGTTGTTGCTAATGATGTAGATAAACAAAGAAGTTATTTATTAACACATCAAACTAAAAGGTTATCAGCACCTCATATTGTTATTACTAATTATCGTGCTCAAGAATTATCATTTAATGGGTTTCAATTTGATAGAATGTTATGTGATGTTCCTTGTACTGGAGATGGTACTATAAGAAAAAATGTTGATGCACGAACAAAATGGCATGTTATGAATGCTTACACTCTCCATAGAGAACAACTTGATATTATGAAACATGTTCTTTGTCATGTAAAAGTTGGAGGAAAATTTGTTTATTCAACATGTAGTCTTAATCCAATAGAGGATGAGGCAGTAGTAGCAGAACTTTTAAGAATATTTGGTGATTCTATTGAACTTATTGATGCTCGTCCACTCCTTCCAACTCTTAAATTTAGTGAGGGGGTATCAGAATGGAAGGTATTTGACAAACACTTTACTGCAATGAAAGATAAAAATGATAATATTCCTATTACTGCCTTCCCTCCAAAACCAGAAGAAGCAGCTAAATTCCATTTAGAATATACATTACGTATTCTTCCTCACCAACAAAACACTGGAGGATTCTTTACTGCTGTTTTCATTAAAAAAGGAGAAACCCCAGCACCTCCTCCTAAACAAAAAAAAGAAAAAAAATATATTGGAGACAATGGTGAAGAAGTTATTGAAAAACAACCAACTAAAAGAAGAAGAGGAATGGCTCCATTAGATGAACAAGAGTTAAAGCCTCTTCTTTCTACACCAGAAGGAGAAAAGTTATTTGAATCTATCAAGAAGTTTTATAATCTTTCTGATTCTTTCCCTAAAGACCAATTATATGTTGTTGGAGAAGATTGTCTTACAATTCATTATTTATCTAAAACAAGTACTCTTTTAGCTCATGACATTAAAGTTATTAGTGGAGGTGTTAAAATGTTTAAAAGACATAAAAGTGAATTAGTTGGAGCATATAGAATAGTTAGTGAAGGTGTTGTTACATTAGGAGAATATATCGGAAAAGACCGTTGCATTGAAGTTAGTCATGAAATGTTTATGAAACTTCTTAGGGAAGATGTACTTTTAAGTGAATTTAAAAAAGAATTTAAAGGGAATGGGTGTTATTTAGTGAAAGTCGTTGATGGTATTTTGAAAGGTAATTATTATTGCGGATGGGTTGGTCGAGTTTATCTCTCTATGTTAATTAATAAGCAAGACTTAGATGCCTTAAGATTTTTATTTAACATAAGTGCACCTGAGAAAAAATTACATCGAGAAATAGATGATTGTTTAGATGATGATCAAAAATTGAAAAAAGAAGAAAATAAAGAAAATTGATTGATTTTTAATTTCTTTTCTTAGTCAAAGCAAAGTAAAATTATACAAATATTTTTTTCCTTAATTGAATTTGTAATGTTATTAATTTACGTAGATTTAATCTTGAATTTATTAACTTTTCCTTCTAATCTACATTACTAAATTTAGATATGGAATAGACTTATTGAAACGAATTAAAGGAAATAATAAAACTGAAAGATTTACATCTGACAATTACTATTTTTATGTTAATCATTTTCTTATTTACATTATTTACTCTGATTATTGCTACTCCAATATCATGTAATTCTTACCAATCTCAATCAGACTCACAAACAGATATTGAATTAAATATGAGTTTTGGGTGTTATTATATTGTAACTAGTCAAACTACATTCAAATCTATTAGTGGAGAAGGAACAGTTGTTATCAATGGAGCTGTGGAAGTTACTGTAAATGATTTTAAAGGAGGAATTATTCAATTAAATCATGAAAATGCAAAAGTTAATATTCTTAAAACTACTGATTCATTTACAAGTAATAATTCTAAGTATCAAAAGAAAATAGTTGGAAAG